GCATGGTTATGCAGTTTCTAGCCTTCCAATTCTCGGTAAAAGAGTGGGCCACCGCATGGTATTTGTAACATGCGATCGCATGACTTTGTCATTTTTTCTGTCAGACAGCTTTCAGTATTTTGACCATAAATTTCTCTATCGATTTCCACTTGAGGTGATTCAAGATGCGTTGGAAAGCTAACTCAAAGAGATACAGCTTTACTTCATAAACTATCTTCGAATTAGATCATTTTCCATATCCAAAATTGGTCTCCATATGAGGCTGAAAATCGATGCAAAACTTTTCAGCTTGAAAGTTAATATGTGATAATGTCTTGACTATATTGCATTCCTTTGACTTCTTTCTTCATCTAATTGGCCTATAACACTCTCAAGCCTTCATCGTGAGGTTTGATACAACTTTTGAATATTTACACTTTGGTTCCCGAACTTTCGTTTTCTTTCATTTTGGTTATTTTCCCCTTATTTCTTTCAAATTATGTTATATCCATCGAATTGCCATCTAAACCAAAATATGAGAATACTAAGTATATTTAGGCATAAAATAGTCAAATGAGCGCATTAAATAAAGATGTAAAATGTGTATTTTACATTCCTATCAATTAACAAATAATCAGTCACAGTAATATAACGTGACAACAGTCGTTTCTATGGTCGTTTTAAACGACTATGCAGTCGTTTAAAACGTCTGTAATGAATCTGCAACTAAAAATTATACGAGATTCTGCTTTTTAAAACTACTTGAGATCGAAAAATACATTCAAACACTTAAATAAATACAAATGACAATGAATATATGGATAAATAAATAAAAAACATTAGATTAAAAAGTAATTGAAAGTGAAAATAATATCTTACCAATATAAAATGTAGAAATATAAAGTTTTCTTCTTTGATATGCTTCTTTATACTTCGGGTAAAACTAGATTAAAAGAAGAAAGAAGAACAAAGAAGTAGAAGATTATTGATAAATTAGAGAAGAAGAGAACTTGAATTTTTGGAAGAACAAATGAAACTAACGGTTATAATTTTGATTTGAAAAATGAGTATTATGGTCATTATATGGTAAGGGCATTTGATATATTTCAATAATATTTAAAAGGATAATATGGACATTTTAACCTAAAAATGCCTCAAAAACTTTTCTGTAGTAAATTAGGCCTAAAATTTTTTGGAAGAGTTTGACTAAGCCTTTTATAAAAATTTCCTTTGAAAAAATATGTTGAAAAAACTTGATTGGAGTTGTTTGATTACTAAATTTGCATCTCAAAATGTGAGAATATTAAATGTGATGCTAGCCTAATCTCTCGGCTTGTGCGTGATATTTTTTTTTTCCAATTTTATCTTTTAAATTGTACAAAGTTTTCATTTAAATATAGATATATTTTTTATTTAAATATTGCTATGTGTGTAAAAATAAATAAAAAAATATAGGGTCTCATAATAATTAGTTGTTTAAGGCCTCAAAATTCTCAAGGTTGGTCCTGCTGAATTACAATAGCGATGGACGGGGATATAGTCTCGCATTGAAGCAAACATCTATAAATTTTGTGTTTTCTTGTGTCTTTATTTTTTTGTTACGATTTTCTTGCTCTTGGTGGTATAGAATTATGATTTCAAATTCACAATAATTACGACCATATTTTTTCACATATGTTTGAAAAAATTTATTTTAGAAAAAAATGACAATAAACTAAATTATTTTTAATAGAATTTTGATAAATTGGTTTGATAAATATTATATATTTCGAGGGAAAAGGGAATATTTCAAGTATTGTAAACATCATTTATCTTTTATGGTCAAATTTTATAATATAATGAAAAAAAAATTATGAAAAAAGAAATGAAAGACATGAATACATCAATATAAAAAATATTCAGAGCTTTTGAAAACTAGTATAAATATTGGAAAAGGAACATTATTTTCCAGTCACGAGTGATCTTCATGTTATGTAATTTCTGCCACGAGAGGAAAAGGTACATTATTTTCATAGTATTAGCAAGAAGATAAAATCATACTTAAATCAATACTTCCAAATCTCCCTTTACTTCATGTGAGCAGCTTGCAAGGCATATATCTTGTTGGGGAGGGGGGCAGTGCGGGGACGTGCTTCACCACAAGTGAAGACCTTTCGATTCCTAGGTAACATTATAGTGAATACGGGAAACGAAGCAAAACAAGAAATAAAATGCAGATGCTCCTTGAAGCTTGGAATTGAATTACAGTAACAGGAATCCAGAATCTACCTTTTTATATTTCTTCTCGTTCACAATTTGAATAATCGAACGGAAAACAGGAAATTTTATTTTGTTGGAGTCTGAACTCGTGCATTAGTTCAGGTCTACCATAATTAAAAGGAAGACCTCCAGGTCGACTCTCTAAGGCCGTACCAACAAGTCAGCTCGCCCTATGCCGCTGTCATCAGAGATTATCATTGTGTCCTGCAATATGTGTACCCTGTACGACGTCATCACCACCAATATGGCCATTTGAAAAATGAAAAGTGGCAACAATGACAATAGCACTTCATCTTCAGTCAATCATAGGTCCGTAATGATTACCAATTACCTAGGTGTTATCACGATCTGCTTGGCTGACCTCAATGTCCAATCAGAGGCCTCGAATTGAGGGCAGTGGCACACATTTTCGGGCTGATATTGTGGTTGATATGATTTTGGACGGCTAAGTTATTTGATTAGAGGCTTATAAATAGGGACAAATGGTCCCCTCCAAAGGTCGAACTCAATATATTCATCAAACACACTTCGAAAACTTCAATCAATGCAATTGATCTTTCATATATTCCACCAAATACTCCAGAAAATTCCTATTAAGTTGATCTAAATTGGTCACAACATATCATCAACAGATTTCCTACTAACTTTACATGGGGGAATATCGACATATGAAGTTCTTAATGACTGACTTGACTACAGAGCTAAGGATAATTCAGAGGAAGCATCAAGAAAGGTAAATGCTGTTTCCTCAGAGATGAAACTGGATTGTGCCCAGTGCTCCCAAGATCATAGAAGCAATGCAGATCATCTTACTGGGATCTTTCGCGAAAATGGTGAGCCAGACACCATCATTTTGAGCCAGATCATCGATCATCCAAAATGCTTCCTCCGGGTCATCGAATAAGAAAATGTTTGACATGAGTATGCAAGCACCATCATTTTGAGGCTCTACCTCTACAAGCTTCTGGGCACGATTACAAACAACCATGGCGATGGGGTCATAGTTATCAGTTTGAGGATTTGTTTTGTACAATATTCTGAAAGATGTTTACCTTCACACACATAAATAAACATTGCAGTCCTTCCTTCTGAATCCCATTATCCTCAAACCCTTAGATCATCGCAGTCCATAAATCCAAATCTCTTTTAGGACTTTCATCGAACAACTTCCGAACATTTCAAAACCTCATGCGACCACCATACAAAAGAATCAATATGTTAAAATTCATTCCCATTTTCAATCACATGGGCATGATTTTAGGTAACATTAGTGAAATTGTCATAAATTTCACTTTAATGATCATTTTCAAATTTCTTACCAAGTTCAACTACGATGATCGATGAAACTAACTCTAGCCTAGTAGTGTCAACGGTAAATATATTTTTATTAAGAGCCAATCTGGAAAGAAAAAGAAAAGGTGCAATCATCATTGACCCGATCCACTTAGTCTTTGCAAAATTATAAAAAAAATGATGGCGTGTAGTAGTAGTTACTATCAAACAGCCATTTGGAAGCTTTCTCTTTCTCTCTCTATATATATATCTTCACCAGACAAACAGCATATTCTGCGTCAAATCTGCAAAGCGATGGGACAAATCCTTCAGAAACTTCAAGGTATCATTCTATAAGAAATTCGCTTCGACTTTTATAGAGCTACAATTGAATTTATTTACTTCTTTGTATTGGATCATGTTGCAATGCATCTCTTTGTTGACTTTCGCTGCTCCAACGATTTATCATCGGATGAATTTTCTTTTAGTTCATGGATAACTATCTGTGACCGTGTATTTAATTCGATTTCTAGATGAATAGTTTCGGAAACGAAATTTAATTTATATCAAGGCTTTGACTATTTTAGGGGACTTATTTATATAACTTGATCTGTAAATAATCCCTTTCAATACTATAATTGAACATTTGATTGTCTATCTCAATAGTCTAATTAAAACAAGAATAGTTTGTTTTCATGAATATGTAGTTATGGCTTCCTAATACTGCTGATCTGTTAATTTGGGAGCATCTTTTTGTTCAATAAGCTCTTTAACAATGGCAATGGTATGTCATGAGGGTCTATTAAGCTTAGGTTGTTAGTCTTTGTAATCAACTAGCTGAATAAGGTCTCCATGGCAAATTTCGTGTGAGGAAAATAGATTAATAGCAAAACTCGTGTGAGGAAAATAGATTAATAGCAAAACATTTGTACGTTTTCCATTAGGAAATAGTTTAGTTCCATTCTTTAATAAGTTTTGGGAGAAGATCATTTCAATCGCTTTCAGGGTGGTCTCTCATGGTCTTTTAACATAAAAACCTTTTGAACCATCTGGATATGTACTCAAATGCTTTACAGGTAACTCTGAAGTCTGAACTACACGCTATCTGGCCATATTTTCTTTTACATAGCTAAGTGAGTATTTAGAAAGTAGGATACTGTTGTCCAATAGCTGAAGGAAAATTTGGTCATTGAATATAAAATATGCCTTTCTGTTTTGCTATTTCAAGTCAATATCAGATACTTCTGTCTGTTAGCTATTGTGATACAAATAGTATAACTTATACAATAACTTGAATAGAACGATCTTTTACGGTGTGTCTGATTCCCAGGAAAACATGTTATATCCATCTTGTTATGTTGGTATGTCGAATCCTTTATACTCTATTCCAGGGTTACCATTAGCTTTCTTCCTTTCTCTCTTTCCTTGTATTATTTGTTAAATTGATTACTGGATTAATTACTCTGAAAATTAGTTTGCATATTGCGTCTTAATTTCTAAGTTCAACCTTGCTTTGCAATTTTATATAGAAGAAACTAATTTTTGTAAGATAAATCTCGAACTATGATTGCATCAAGTTAATTTTACTTGGTAATATGTAATACTAGCAATATTGTGGACGTGGAGAATTCTCTAGTGAAAAGATTCTCGATGTTTTGGTAAAATTATTTTTTCTGATTGGAACACTGGCTATTTTAAGAACTGTGTTACATGTATGATTCGTTGTTTGATAAGGAAGTCATTTAGCTTCACTTCGATTTTGTGGCACTTTATAATCTATACAACATGGTATTGGGAAAGTGACCTGGGAATTTTAGCTTGCATGAATCCTGTTTGAAATTGAAAGTTACTAGCTTGAGCCTGGTGGAAGTTTTATTGGTTGTCCATGATTGAACTTGGGCAAATATATGCATCCCGACACTGTATACAGTTACAGATTTACTAATATGTAATTTTCTTTCCTTGGATGCGGGCTCTGTATTCAGAAACATCAACAGTCAAATGATAATCCTATGTATGCTTGTACATGCTCGTGTTTCATGCAGGTAATGAATGGAAAGAAAGGCATATTAGAAAGATAACTGACAAAATTTTTGATCATTTCAAGAATGAAACTGGAAAGGCCAATATGACGTTTGAGGAGCTCCATATTGCTGTGCTACTTGTGTACAAGTAAGATGCTTTACCTGCATAAGCTTTATATCCATTAGGAATCCGCAGAACGAACTTTTAATTTACCCATTTTCTAAATAATATGGGATAGTAATTAGCATATATAACTGTTTCAATGTTGTAGTGATATTAATAAGCTTTTACCTGGAACTCATTTCGATCCTCCATCGAAGGAACAAATTAAGATTCTTATGCAGGTATGTGGTAGAGTTTTTGATTCTTTATGTAAGATACCATTCTAGAAATCTTTAAAGGCAATGGCAACATGAGATAAAGAAAAATAATAAACACACGCACACATAATTTCTTCTCTGTAAATATTTAAGAGCTCTGCCGTTGATAAATTACAAAAAAGCAATTAATCATTGAAACACTCTTCATCTAAGTGCAGAGATCATGTTGATGCTTATCATGACCTTAATGTGTCCCTACGCTTCTTTTTCAATGTTTGACCCCTATGACTTGTTTGGTAAGAGTATGGATAGCAGTGGACAATATTAAGGTAGAAAAAAAAGGTTAAATTTTGATAATTTTACTGTCCTCATGTCCAGTAAAACCTAATGCACATTTATTATATCAGGACAGGTAGAGTTATTTTTCTTTCTTCATTTGTTGCATCCGACAGGATCTCCTGTACTTTCATGGCTGGATAATCCACTTCCCGTATTTAAATAGAACCTTACACATTTTTACATCGAAAATTGAGTCATTGCGTTGTCATCAGAAAGTGGATATGGCTGTTATGGCATATTCTTTCACGGATTGTTACAGAATCACCAATCATTCTGCTTGTCGATAACTTCGTTAATCTTCAAGTGTGGGTGACTTGACTTCAAGTCTAAATGAGTCTCCCTGTCATAATATAAGCTTATGTATAATGTATCCATTTGATTTTATATTGGTTGATGAAAACTTGAAGATTTATTTGTACTATATAGCCTTGAATATTTTTCTTGACGTTGGGCACCTTGCCAAGCAATGCTTGAAGAAACAAGCATATTTGGTGATGCAGGATGAATTAGAATTTAGGGTGAATTAGAATTAAAGCCAAAAAGTTAGAAAGAAAGCAAGAAGAAGCAAGAAGAAGAGGGGAGGGGGAGGAGGAGGGAGGGGGGAGAAAAAAGCTGCAAGCCAATCTCTAATTCATCATATTCATCAACTGTCCAATAACAATGAAAAGATCCAATAAAGCCCAATAACAATAAAATAAATCACGATGATGATGTCCGCATCAACTTTCCCGGGGTGGGAAAAAGACTTGACCCTGTCGAGTGGATAAATCAAAATGTTGCAATGAATCTGATACCAAAGGCTTCAAGTCATGCCACGGGGGACGATATTTCGTGATAACCAAATATCGAAACTCCACAAATGATAACAAAGATAGTTGTAGTTTATCCCCAAGAATATGATCCAACCAAGGGGGACGATTTTTCATAAGAACCAAATATCGAAACTCCAGCAAGTTAATCCAAATTGGTTGAAGGTTCTCTATAGGACTCTATGTACGGTCTGCATCAGGTGGAACTACCCAACGAGCAATGAAGCACCAAATCTCTCTATCATTGGTCAACACAATCTGTTCACCTAAAATAACATCAATTGTACCTTTGTGTGCTGTGACAGATGGTAAGGAAGTAGAAATATCAACATAGACAGGTTGGGAGTCCACAGAGTTAAATAGAAAAGGATCATCAAAAGAATGGAAACGGTGTTTGTAAGTAATGAAGTCCTCAACATTTAAAGAGTGGTAGCCAAAATGTGATGAAAGATCAATGACATGTGAAGTTGGACCAACATGCTCTAATTTTTTTTTTTTTTATAACAGTGGATGTCTGGGCCAACTTGAGCGCACCTCGACTAATTCCA